TTTAGTAGCAGCCCACACATTTTGATACATTGTATATTTATTTTCATTCAATTTGAAATACTTTGTAATTCCTTTTTGGTTTCTTTTTTGGCCCTTGGATATAGACGGGTTTTATAGAGTTTGGAAATATTCTGAGATTTCTCAAAATACACTTTTGTTGTTGGTTTATTATTTAATTTCATTGCGATAAGAGAACATACTTTGTATGATCTGAGTTCTTTTAAATTTAATGGCACTTATTTTATGGCCCAGAATATGGACTCTGCCTACTATTCTGGGAATCTTGAGGTTTTCCAGTCTGGCTGGTGTGACGGGCACTGTTTTCTGGCCCACTGTTAGTACCAGGCACGTGCTGCCTCACGTCCTCCAGGCGGTTCAGTTTCCAGCTTTGGGTAGTTTCCTCATATGCGTTCATGCATCAGTTCTTAGCTGAATACTTAAGGGGAACCCTCCACAGATCTCCCAAGTTCCCACTCTGTGAACTTGTCTCTTTTTCAGCATTCTGTCTTCCTCCTCAGAATTCTAGTCCCCTTGGTCTTCCTGGACTCTCAGTTCATTCACTCAGCCCCTGGGGAGTCTGTCAGTTTCTGCCTTCATTCTCCCTCTTTGCACTGTGGCTTGGAAATGCTCTCAAATCAGTAAAGTGGGGCAATTGCAGGGCTTACTCCATTTTCTTTCCTGCTTATCCAGAATGATTGCTTTTCCTTGACTGATTTACAGTGTTCTGCAAGCTATCATTTCCTATATTTTGTCTGGTTTTGGTTGTTTCAGGAATGAGGGTAAATCTGGTCCCTGTTACTTCATCTTAGTTGGAAGCAAAATTCTCCCTCTCTCTCCCTCCTTCCCTCCCTCCCTCCCTCCCTCTCTGTCTCTCTCTCTCTTTCTTCTTTCAAGAAGCTGCAACAGTAGGCATGTCAGAGCCTTTTCCTACAAGGGAAGAGACCCAGCCATCTCCTACAGACTTACTCATGTCAGCTGGGCCAGCAGCTATAGCTGTCCATACACCCAAGGCAAGCCTGGGAGGAGGGATTTGTATTTGTCAACTTTTACAGTGGTAACAAACAATCCAAAATCTAAGTAGTAGATGACCACAAACATCTATTTCTTGTTTACATGACATGAGGACTGTAGCCGTCTCTAGCTCAGCTGGGCTCAGCTAGCTTTGCCTGGTCCAACTGGGCTTGCCTGGGCTCATTTCAGCTCTCTACATCTTCTTTTTCCAGAAATAAAGGTGAAGCCATGCTATTTTCTTGGTGAGGGTCCAGAGCAAGAGGCACAGGCCAAAGCACGTAGTACAGTCCTGGCATCCCTCACATCTGGGCACATTCCATAGGCCAAAGCAAGTCAGTAGCTAAGCCCAAAGTCAAGTGTGTGGGAAAGTACACCCTACCCACAGGGAGCATGGCAAAGACAGAGAAAGAATGAATAATTATGAACAATTACAATCTTCTATAGCATTGGAGGCTTACTCTCTCTTGCTGTATTTACTATGTGTTCTAGCACAATGGACCTCTTTACCTCTTTCATGGTACCAAACACATCACAGTATTTTACAGATTAATCTCAATTTGACATTTATGTGACTCTTCTCTCTCCTCCACTGGAAAATAAGCTTCATAAATGCAGAGATGTTTCCTGGTGCATGTAGGCAGTAAGTAACTGTTGAATGAATGAATGAATGAATGAATGAATGAATGAATGTCTTTCTCTGCTTACTTCCCCAAGGCACTAAAAAATGTGCTAGGTGGCATTTGGTTAGAACCTGCGTAGGATTAACTAGGACCAAATGATGCTACATGGTCTAGCCATGCTTGCCAGACAGCTCAGCTCTGGCACTCAACACTATAGAAAATGATGTAGACTTTTGCTTTCCTTTGCTGTTGTTCTCCATACATACTCCTGCGGACATGCAGAGCTGTAGTTGGAGCAACACTTCCCTCCAAAAGAAAGAGAAATACAGATTAAAACAAAAGTGATGGGAATGCAAGCTGGTGCAGCCACTCTGGAAAACAGTATGGAGGTTCCTCAAAAAACTAAAAATAGAACTACCGTACGGCCCAGCAATTGCACTATTAGGCATTTATCCACGGGATACAGGTGTGCTGTTTTGAAGGGACACATGCACCCCCATGTTTATAGCAGCACTATCAACAATAGCCAAAGTATGGAAAGAGCCCAAATGTCCATCGATGGATGAATGGATAAAGAAGATGTGGTATATATATACAATGGAGTATTACTCGGCAATCAAAAAGAATGAAATCTTGCCATTTGCAACTATGTGGATGGAACTGGAGGGTATTATGCTAAGTGAAATTAGTCAGTCAGAGAAAGACAAAAATCATATGACTTCACTCATATGAGAACTTTAAGAGACAAAACAGATGAACATAAGGGAAGGGAAACAAAAACAATATAAAAACAGGGAGGGGGACAAAACAGAAGAGACTCATAAATATGGAGAAGAAACTGAGGGTTACGGGAGGGGGTGTGGGAGGGGGGATGGGCTAAATGGGTAAGGGGCACTAAGGAATGTACTCCTGAAATCATTGTTTCACTATATGCTAACAAATTTGGATGTAAATTTTAAAAAATAAGAAATAAAACAAGTTAAAATAAATAAATAAAATAAAATAATAAAAACATCCTTTGGAAAAAAAACTGAAAAAAATAAAAGTGAGATTCCGTTTTTAACCATCAAATGAGAAAAAATAAAATAATTAATAACTGCATGATGGTGAGAAGGTGAAAAAACAGGCACACTCCTATGCTGGAGGGATGTAAATTGGCACAGTCTTTAAGGAGGGCACTTTGACACGCCTATTGAAAGTACATTCTCTGTTGAATCACTACACTGCACACCTGAAACTAATATAACACTGTATGTTAACTATACTGGAATTAAAAGAAAAAAACTTAAAGTGATTTTAAGAAGTACATTCTCTGTGTCTTTACAGTTTTCCATATAATTTTGCCCTATGAATATATTCGATAGATTCTATATGTCCTATTTTGCCTTATGAATATACTTACACAAAGACAAAGGTATACAAGAATATTCAATGAAATTTTGGTCGTCATAGCAAAAGATTGGGAACATTTAAAGGCCCAGCAAAGATGAATTGATTAAATAAAACAAGCAGCTGTGAAGCACTTAAACCTAGGGTAGCTCTTTATCTACTGATACGAAGTGCATTCCGTAATGGTAAGTGAAGAAGGGAGAGAGGGAGGCCATCAGGGAGGCAGTGAGGAAGGGAATACTCCAAAGGGAAATAAATGGTGCGCTCATAAAGTAGCAAATGTTTGAGTATAGCTGAGTTGAAGAACACGTGTAAGAACCCAGAGGGAAGTAAACTAGTAATGTAACTAGCAGAAATGTCCTGAAGGCCCTCAAATACTACACTGGAAGGTTTACTCTCTGTGTCTCGAAGATGGAGAAACCCTAAAGCATTTTAAGGAGGAGAATATTTCAATGTTTTAAACAGCTGAAAACAAGCCCAAGCAGTGAGTTATTCATAATAGAATCACTTTGAGAAAAACCCCAACCAAGTTGCAGATACTGGCAAAACCATAGCATCCTTCCTTAAAATGTCGGAGAGGGAAAACTCTGAAATGATAAATTTAAGATGGCACCAACTAATATGCTAAGGAGAGAATAACTGGAAAATTCCATCAATTCTTAAAAATAATGTCAAGAAATCATGAGTATGGAGTTTAAGGGCAAATTTGAAGGATGGTAAAAATAAAATTGAACCCTCTGGTCAATTTCAGAGAGAAATAGGAAAAGAAGTCTTTAATTTTGCTGTCTTTACAATCCATAGTCCTACTTACTACTTAGAATTCCTGCTGCATAATTCCTATTTCTTTTTGCTTCCAAGACAGAAGGAAATTTTCCCATGTTTTCTATTGACATGGAATCCATCTTAGATTTTTTTATATTTTATAGCAACATCATATTTAGAATGAGGATGTGCTAGTTCACCCTTCGCTCATACACCAGTCACCAAGAACATTGTCCCAAGCTCGAAGACACGCTCAGCTTGTCAAAATGACAAAAGAGCCGTGGAAATAGGGGAAGCCACCAAAGCACCCAGAATGAAGGAGCACATATCAACTCTTTTAAAACAAGAACACAACCATCTGAAAGGCTCCACAAGGTCAGAGCAGGAGCTGTTGGAATGAAAGGAGACATCCAGGTCAAGTTGCATCCGTGAGAGTCAATGTTATCTAAAGAATGGGCTGCCTCAGAAGGAGATAATTGTCCTACCAGAAATGTTCACCCCATGACGACCCAGTCACTTAGAGTATTTGTCTGAAGGATATAAGCAACAGAGGAGACATAGGACTAGAAGACTCTAAGGATTGTTAGCAATTCTAAGAGCCTGATTAAAGCTGGGTTTAAATTTTCCCAGTGCTCAGAGTCTGATGTGACTTTAAATGAATTTGTTTAAATGAAGAATTTTTTCTAAGATATTAATTTATGTGAAATGATAATGAATGCTTTTAGAAAGATATGAGGACACAAATAATAAACAAAGAATTCAATATCAGAATCTATAAGGAACTCCAGGAATTAAATAAGGAAGGAAAAGACAAACAATCCAATAGAAAAATCTTCTCCAAATATCAACAGACATTTCACAGAAGCCTCAGCCCAGATGGTAAACAAACAAGGTTAGATGCCACCAGAGAAAGTCAAATTAAAACAAGATATCATTTTACACCCACTTTTAGCAAAACAGAGAAGTCTGACAATACTAAGTGTTGACAAGATTATCAAACAGTGGAAACTTTTATACACAACTGGTGGGAATTTATAATGAATTGGTTCAAAACACTTTGGGGGAAAAATTGGTATAATATACTATTTTTGAATATTTATATGTCCTGGAACCCAACAACTCCATCCTTATACCCAGTATATACCCTAGAAAAACACTGGTACCCATACACCCAAAACTACATAAGAGCATTTGTAGCAACACTGATGGAACAGGGGGAAAAATTAAATGGAAACAGTTTAATCATAGACAAAGCAATGGTTAAACATATTTTGTGATATATGCCCACAGATATGATGCAACTTTGAACGTAAATGGACATCTATGAATTATAATATATTAACACACCAAGTTGCAAAGAATTACATATTATGAAACAAATGTTCCAAAGCTCAAAAAACCTAAATAATAAGTTACTTAGGAATACATTTAGATATGGTAAAACATATAGATTAATGATTATATTGAATGAAAACAGCAAGTTGCAGAAGACTAGAACATGACTCCATTTTTATAAAGCTCTAAAATAAGCAAGACTATGTATTGTGCAGAGCTACAAAAAAAAAAAAAAAGATTTTACATGTAAAATTACCTATAAAAACCTGATAGAAAAGTGAAGTGGTAAACACAAAATTCAAGATGAGTTATCCCTGGCAGGGAACAAGGAGCTGGGATTGCAGAAGGGAACACAGGAAGCTCCAACAGAATTGATTATGTCTGGTTCATTGTCTGTATGATATGTTCACTGATGTTCATCTTGTTATAGTGTTTGGTAACTTACAAGTATATCGTATGTATTCTTTTGTGGTCTCAAATATTACATAATAAAAATATAATTAAACCACACAAAATTGTTTTTGTTAAGATGGCTATTCTTCCAGCTTCCTCTTCCTGGACTGCCCTTTTTTGTATCTCCAAACTTGAATGAGGGTCACAGGCCTGAAAGAAGAAAAAAGTGTAGTTGTAAGATGATATATAAAAATGCCGTCTAAGCACAGCTCAGAACTAATGATCTTCCCGGGCTGGATGTCGCAAAATTATTACAAAAGTGACAGAGCCAATTCTCTGTTACTCTGTTGGGTCGTATTTCAGTTTAGTGGCTCAGTTTTCAGAATAAGTCTTGCCTTTAAAATACCCTGTTCCGGAGCCGTTATGGTCTTCAGCGAGTCCCTGGCTATCAAGTGCTTTCTCATTCTGCCCCTGAAAACTGAGTGACTCATTTACATATTTTAAAGGAAGGGTGAAAAGAGTTTCTTTGTTTAAATTACAACTTTTGTCTTAAATATAGTTTTGTTTTTTTACCTTTGTTACCAAACATGTTAGAGGAGTGAGAAGTGACAATTGTTAATAAATTTGAGTTAAGCAGTTTTCTTTTTTTTTTTTTAATTTTTTACCGTTTATTCACTTTTGAGAGACAGAGACAGAGCACAAGTGGGGGAGGGGAAGAGAGAGAGGGAGACACAGGATCTAAAGCAGACTCCAGGTTCTGAGCTCTTGGCACAGAGCCCGATGCGGGGCTCGAACTCATGAATCACAAGATCATGCCTGAGCCAAAGTCAGATGTTTAACCAACTGAGCCACCCAGGCACCCCTGAATTTTCATTCAGATTGGTTTCTCAATCACTTTCAGGGCTAGGGAGGCAAAAATCTAAGTACCCTCAGCACCTCACTCCTATCCCAGTACCTCTCATCTCCCATAATCACCATCTTGCTGGGTTTCCCCCAAGCAGGATGTCTTTCTGATCTCGCCACATGCTATGCACAGACACACTCCCATCCCTTCTGATTCCCAGACTCAAATCTTTTCTACCACTTCCCTTTTGCTATAGACAGGGCTGTAAGGGGGTTGGGCACTGAGACCAGTGAGATGTACTGGGTGGGTGCTGGGGACATTGGGAGGTTGGGCCAGGTGTTTAATCTGACATAATTCATATCAGAACTACATTGCCGGCTGTGATGTAGTGATAGCCTGTGTCTTGAGGTTACACATCCCTGACTCAAATCCCCAGCTCTGCCACTTTTTAGCTGGGTAACCGTCCAGTGGTCCTTGAACTTTTCAGAGCCTCAGTTTCTTTGCCTATAAAAGTAGTTAATACCTACATCCTAGGGGTGGTTGTAAGGACTCACCTATGCTTGTGAATTTTAAGTACTCAGTAGGTACTCAGGTGTGGTGTTTTATTTGTATTGGGTGAATGTGTTGAAATATAGAAGCTCTTTCTAGGTGTGCAGACTACACTCATTAGAGGTTGATTCACTTACTCATCCTTGAATGCAGATTTCTTGACACTCGTTTTCACTGTTGAATCTATTTCCTGAGCCATTACAGCCACTGAACCAAAAGCGGGCACAGGAGTTCACCTGTTTGTCATAATACCATCGAACTACATATTCGCCACAGTCTCCCGGCTTTAGGGGTTCCAAGCATCTAGGATCTAGAGTCAGAAAAGGATACCATGTTATTATAGGCTTTTTTCCCCCTGAAAAGATGAAAAGAGAAAGCTTTGTAAAGTTTATTCTCCATGCACAGAAACACATCAAGGAAGAAAATATGGTTCCAAGTTAAAGGCGTGTTCCCTGATACCTAAAATATTTCCTCCAGCACCTGAAACTCCACTATTGGATACTCCTTTGATCTTCATGCAACCTCATTAAAAATGCATATTTCCCTGAAAACATAACCCCGTGAGCCTTCATTGGCTAACACTCTTGCAGGGATTAGTTGGCAAGAGAAAAACAGGAGTTCTTCATTTACTTTGGACTTGATCTAAAATCAGATTAACATTTGGAATAAAGAGGATCTCAGCCTTCTGTACACATTCCCTCTAGAAAGTGCCACTTGTGATCCCATGTAATTGTGCCCACTAGAAAAGGAAAATCCTTGGGGTGTCTGGGTGGTTTGGTCAGTTAAGTGCCCGCCTCTTGGTTCAGGCTCGGGTTATGATCTCATGGATTGTGGGATAGAGTGTCAGCACAGAGCCTGCTTGGGATTCTCTCTCTCCCTTTTTTTCTGCCCCTCCCCTGCTCTTGCACACACAGGCACCCTTTCTCCCTCTCTCTCAAGATAAATAAATGTAAAATGAAAATAATAAATAAAATAATAAAAATAACAAATGAAATAATAAATGAAAATAAAATAAGTTACCACAAAATAAATAAATAAAATGAAGGGCTCTCTTTATATCACAGGTTTCTCTTAAGAAGAGTAGTTCTTGGGGCACCCAGGTGGCTCAGTGGGTTAAGCATTCGACTTCAGCTCAGGTCATAATCTTACAGTGCATGAGTTTGAGCTCTGCATTGTGCTGTCTGCTGTCAACACAGAGCCTGCTTCCAGATCCTCTGTCTCCCTCTCTCTCTGCCCCTCCCCTTCTCTCTCTCTCTCTCTCTCTCTCTCTCTCTCAAAAATAAATAAATATTTTAAAAGTTTTTAAAATAAGTAAAAAGAATAGTTCTTGACAATAAAATCATGACCTTTTAATGTCTATTTGCAAATAAGTCTCAGAAACACTTCCATTGTAAAGAGGAAAAAAAGAGAAAGGAGAACTACAATAGGAAACCCATTCATTAAATCTCTATTTCATGGTACTCCTTAGTGTCTTGATTAGTATTCCTTACAGAGGAAGTGATTCCAAGGTGAGAAAACCCACAAAAACCAAGTAGGTACTTACTGCCTGAGACTTGTGTTCTGTGAGACAGTTTATATGCCATAAGCTTCATTTCTCAATTGTAAAACAAGTCCTTTCTCCATCTCCCGTAATCATTTCCCCGGATATAGAGCATGTCTGTATTCCTTTATTTTCTAAAACTAACTTTCAAATCTCCTTCTCCTATGAAGACTCCTTAGACCGAATGGAAAGGAGTAGACTTTCACTATCTCCACTGTTAAAAACAGTAACTAAGTAAGGTATACTGTGTAACTTGTCAAACCAATCTAAAGTTCTTTTGGGCAAAGATGTTGTCTCTCTTGCATGTTCTTCAGAAACTATGTATATAATGATTAATTTCTATAGATACTAACTCCACAGAAAATATGTTGATGAGTTGGAATCTAGGTTCTAGCTTTTTTCTCTTCTATAATCTAGGAGTCAAAAATTCAAATGTCTACATGAGTCAAGGCCACATGTAAGACAATAGGGAGTGGTAGGGGCCATGGCAAAATGAGAACACAATCATCTGTAAAGGCATTTAAATTTATTTATTTTTTTATGTGTATTTATTTTTTTAGAGAGAGAGTGAGCAAGGGGCAGAGAGAGAGAGAGAGAGAGAGAGAGAGAGAAATCCTAAGCAGGCTCCACACTGTCAGCACAGAGCCGACATGGGGCTCAAACCCACGAACTGGGAGATCATGACCTGACCTGAAACCAAGAGTCAGATGCTTAACTGAGCTGCCCAGGTACCCTTGTAAAGGCATTTAAATAAAACAAGCAGACAAACAAACAAAAAACAATAAACATGGGGCACCTGGGTGGTTCACTTGGTTAAGTGTCTGACTTTGGCTCAGTTTCATGATCTCACAGCTCGTGAGGTCAAGCCCTGCTCGGTGGTGACAGCTTGGAGCCTGGAGCGTGCTTTGGAATCTCTGTCTCCCTCTCTCTGCCCCTCCCCTGCTTGTGTGCGCTCTCTCTCTCTCTCTCTCTCTCTCTCTCTCTCAAAAATAAGTAAACATTAAAAAAACTCCTAAATCTCTAAAAAACTAAACATTATAAGAGCTTTAAAATTTTCTTATTGCACAAATTTGTCCTAATGACCATTCTATTTTCTTATTCTACCTATAATAAAATGAAAAGTGTCTTTTGTCCTACCTGAGTCAACACATGATATTTCTGAATGAGATTTCAGAGACACACCCTTTCTGTGCCTTGACATTGTAGATGCAGCAGCTGATTGCCAGGTATCTCTTACCTTGGTGCGCCAACTTTTCTGGCTTTAAGTTCAAAATGGGACTTGGAATTCTTGTTTCCAGACCCTCTGCCCCCTCCTCAGGGAGGCTGAGCAATGGCTCCTGGGTGGTAGCAGCCTCAGGTGAAGGAGTGGTGGTCAGGCCATCAGTCCAGTTAGGCTCTTGCTCTTTGTCCTGGGCTCCAGAGACAGTGACCTACACACAAAAAAATTCACGTTTCTAGTTTGGGGAAATATTTCAGGAAAACCTCAGCATTGCTTCTTCTCCCCAACTCTCCAATATTATTTCAATAAAAGCTCAGGGAATGATGCCCCTCTTCTGTGTCATGCATCCCAGAGTACCTAAGTTATGGACTTCCCTTCTGCCAGGCACAGATGTCTCTGTGCTTGGCCTTCCGGAGAGATCCACATTCAGAGTATGAAAGGTATGGGCTTGGGAGAAGTCGATCTCCATTCTTTTCATACTCACTGTCATAAGGAGGGGAAATAACCACTAGTTTCTTTGATCTTGCCTTTTTAACGGACTTTTCCATTTCTTAAACACTAGAGAAATTAATAATATATTCCAAAATATCTACAACAAACCCTCAAATGATTTTGGGATTGGGAATTGGATGGCAGAGGACAATCATGCAGGTGAAATAAAAATAGTAGCAATTGCTTTCTGTCTCATCCTGTTATCTGGACCCCAACAAATGCCCAATGCTGCAGGATGCTCAGCTTCTAAGAAGTTCTAAAAATGTTTGTTAGTGAAGGAACAAAGGAACATAATGTCAAAAGCAAGTTTTCTGGACTCAAGTTTCCAAGTTCTGTCTGAATTTATGATATGTAATGAGACAAGGCAAAAAAGGTATTTTGTTTCGAAAAAAAAAGTCATGTCAGATATTGTTGACAAGGTCAGTCTTTTATGGGACCAATTAAGTTCTTTTACTTCTTTTCCCTTGGACCCCAGCTACAGGGAATTGAGTCAATCATTTATCTTGGTCTTAGCACGGTATGGTCACTTATCCTTGCAAGGCACTCTTTTTGTTTTCTTTTTGTTTATTTATTTAAATAGGCAAATCGAACTAAGTAAAGTCATTTTTTGATGTTTTCTTACCTGTGTTTCCTATCATCCTGGGATCAGAGCCAGCTGTTATCATTAGCTGCTCTCTGCTGTCTAAACTATAGATACACACACACACACACACACACACACACACAGAACACACACACACACACACACACACACACACACACACGGAAGGACTAATCAGTTCTATTACTCATTGTGTATATTTTTACAATGATTAAAGTACTACCAGGTAAATCAAAGCAGACATTTCCATTGGGACTGATGTAGTCATAAGCCCAATATAAAGAGCACTCAATTCAAATACAATTATGGTATGTCACTAGCCCCAAAACACAACTTTTGGGACAAATGGAGGTAAAACGATGGGTCACTTGGCCTTCCTCCTTCTTTGAGAATGGTCTTGTGTGTACAATATATCGATTTGAATGTGAAATTTTGTTGTCATCATTGAACTACAGAATTTTAAGGCTAAAGGAAAATTCTGTGAATACTTCATTTTCTATAGGGGAACCTAAACTTCCAAATGAATAAAGAGCCTCCCCCAAATCATTGGTAAGCTGGTGATAAAATCTGAGAAATGCCTGTTTCAAGAAAGAAATCCTATGTTTTGGTTTTGTTTTGTTTGCACATATTTTGTTAAGGAAAAAATAACTTAAAAGCTTGACTAAGGAGTAGTTTATCAAACGTAAAAAAGCCAATAGGCAGTAGGCTACACTTCAGATCTACTATCTGTCAGGTGAGAAGTTTCCTTTGAAGAAGTGCACTGGGCAGCAGTTTTCTTAAAGGAACTAACTCGGCCTTTAAATCATTCCCTTGTTCAAGCCTTAGGGCCTCATAAGTTACTCTTTACCTCTTGTAAGTGTAGGAGTGTGTATTTTCTTTCTCAGTCACAGCATCATTTGGGAATTTTGACTGCTAGAGCATTATACCTCAGGTTCTAGAGCAAATGGAATTAATATTTTTTCATCAGTGAGAATTATTTTCCCTTTTGGTTCCATGAGATTTCAGATTATTTAAACAAATGCATCATTATTATGGTTTGTCATTTTTATAATTTTCTTATTATAAAAACAAACACAGTCATTGAAGGGAATTTAGAGAATATGGACAAGCAACAAGAAGAAAATAAAAATCACAAGGGATTCCACCTCCCAGAAATAATCATCAATGATATTCAGGTGTATTTTTACCTCAATCTTTTTCCTCTGTGCATTTATTTTAACAAATAAAAAACATTGGAGTGTTAACAGGTTTTCTATGTTCCTTTTTTGAACTTATTATATTACTGTGGCCCTAAAATACCATTTAATTATATTACTACCTTTAAATATACAATGACAATACTTTTTAAACATTTAATTTATTTGCTTTTTTTTTTTTTTCTGTTGGAAACCACATGCTGATTGCTGGATCTAAGAACACACATATTTGAGGCTTATGAGACAGTCTTCTCCAGAAAAGTCTTATAATTTGCATTCTCACTAGTGAGTGTTTTTTCTTAAATGATCACCATTTCCTAGCTATTATGACTGAAAAAAGATGTAATTACTAGTTTGATAGGTGAAAAATTCTTCAACTGTTCTCCACAGCCCTGCCACACTGTCTCCTACACACACACACACACACACACACACACACACACACACACACACACA